AGCCCCCCCACGCGAAAGCCTGGCCCCAAAACTGGGGGGGGGGGGGGTTGTCCCCACCTTGGAGGATTAATATAGGTATAGCATCGTGCCATTGGAAGGTTTTATTGTGATTTTAAATGTTGTATTTATTGTATGTTGTATTATATTTTGCACTCGGCTTTGCCGCATGTGAGCCGCCCTGAGCCTTTGGGAGGGCGGGATCTAAATCAAACTAATAAAATAAATAAATAAATAAATAAATTTCCTGCATTGTGCAGGTGGTCAGAATAGATGACCCTGTGGGGTCCCTTCCAACTCTATGATTCTGTGAAGATCTCACGCCTTCCAGGGACTCTCAGTTCTTCAGCAGAACAAAATTCACGTCCAGCATCACCTCAAAGACCAACGAAATGTCCAGGGTTATTAAGCTTTGGTGTGTCAAAGCTCGCTCTGTCACTTCTGGAATCCGGCAAACTTTCCTTCATACGGAGGGGCGATCAATCATCGTGCCCTTCCCACAGACTGAAGTATTTATTCACTTCACTTATATCCCTCCTTTCTCCCCAATGGAGACCCAAAGCGGCTTATGGGATTCTCCTCTCCTCCGTTCTGTCCTCACCAACAACCCTGTGAGGCGGGACAGGCGGAGACCGAGGGATCCGAGGTCACCCACCAAGCTTTCGTGACGGAACGGGGATTTGGGCGCGGAACGGCGGTCACTGGGGGAGGTATGTGTGAATTCCCGGCATTGTGCAGGGGGGTGGACTAGATGACCCCGGAGGACCCCCTTCCAATTCTAGGATTATATGAAGCTGGTTGGCCAAGATCCTAACCCAACCACTGCATTAGGTGGGCCGGGCAGAGACAGCCAGGGTGGCGGCCTGGCCACTGCCCTCCTAGGCCAGCGCACCTCGAGAACCCTCCGCAACACACTGTGAGTCTGTGGCTAACCAACAGCGTAATTCTAAACAGAGTTACAGCCTGAGCCCGCTGACTTCAGGGGACTTAGAAGAGCGTGGCTGTGCCAAGGGGACTCAAAGGCTGTGGGAGCTTGACATTACGGCAGAACCCCCGAGACAGACGTTCCGAGCACAACTGACTTAACACGTTGAAAGAAAGCTGAAGGTTGACATACGTTCTTTGTCCTTTTCGACCAAAGACGTTGGCGGTGCAATAGCGGCTCCTCCCATGCCTGCAAAAGAAAACGGCAAATGTATGAGAAAGAAATCTAAGTGATGCTTCGGCAGGCTATTAGCTTATTTCCTTTATTTATAAGCCACTTTTCTTACTGAGAAGGCAGATTGCAGGATAAAAAAACAAGAACGTCAGAAGAGCCCGGCTGGATCAGACCAGGGGTCCTTCTAGTCCAGCATCCTGTCTCGCACAGTGGCCAACCAGTTCCTCCGGAGGGCCAAAAACAGAGCACAGAGGCCGAGGCTTTCATAAGAATATCAGAAGAGCCCTGCTGGATCAGACCAGGGGCCAACAACGGGGCACAGAGGCCGAGGCCTTCATAAGAACATCAGAAGAGCCCTGCTGGATCAGACCAGGGGTCCCTCTAGTCCAGCATCCTAAGAACATCAGAAGAGCCCTGCTGGATCAGACCAGGGGTCCCTCTAGTCCAGCATCCTGTCTCACACAGTGGCCAACCAGTTCCTCCGGAGGGCCAACAACAGGGCAGAGAGGCCGAGCCCTTCGTAAGAACATAAGAAAAGCCCTGCTGGATCAGACCAATGAGAGTCCATCTAGTCCAGCATCCTGTCTCACTCAGTGGCCAACCAGTTCCTCTGGACAGCCAACAACAGGCCTTCCCCTGATGTTGCCTCCTGGCTCTGGGATTGAGAGGATTAGTGCCTCTGAATGTGGAGGTTCCCCTCAGTCCCCATGGCCAGTGGCCACTGATAGACTGATCCTCCAGGAATCTCTCTAATCCCCTTTTAAAGCTGTTTATTCCTGTGGCCATCACTACATCCTCCGTCAGCGAATTCCACATTTTAATCACTCTCTGTGTAAATTAGTGTTTCCTTTTGTCCGCCCTGAAACCTCTGCAGCGCAATCAAACAGCATAAAACTGGTATTACAGAATTAAACAACAATGCAAAACAAGTTAAATTTTACAGACTATAGACAAGACAGATGGCAGATTACAAGGTGCAGGTCAATGCTGTAAAAACAGGTAATACCTCCAATGATGGCAATGGAGTAGTACAATCCTGTTGCACTATAAAAGTGCCTTTCCTGGGCTACTCCGATCTACTACCATTCTAACATCTTTTTCAAAATGCCCTCTGGAACATTACTGGGGAGGAGACTGGATTTATACCCTGCCCTTCACTACCCGAAGGAGTCTCAGAGCGGTTTACAATCTCCGTCCCTTCCCCTCCCCACAACAGACACCCTGCGAGGGAGGTGGGGCTGAGAGAGCTCTCTCGAGGACTGCACCTGAGAGAACAGCTCTGAGAGAACTTGTGACTGGCCCAACGTCGCACCATCAGCTGCATGTGGAGGAGTGGGGAATCAAAGCCGGCTCTCCCAGATTAGAGTCGGTGCTCCTAAACACTACACCAAACTGGCTCTTCAAAGAGAAAGGAACCACCAAAGTTCTACCTCCCCTCAATTTGAGTCCTGTGTGCAGTTCTGGAGGCCTCACTTCAAAAGGGATGTGGGCAAAATCGAGAGGGTGCAGAAGAGAGCGACGAGGATGATCAGGGGTCTGGAGACTAAGCCCTGCAAGGAAAGGCTAAGGGCCTTGGGAATGTTGAGTTTGGAGAAGAGGAGATTGAGGGGGACATGATTGCTCACGTTAAATATTTGAAAGGCTGTCATTTGGAGGAGGGCAAGGAGCTGTTCCAGTCGGCAGCAGAGGAGAGGACCCGAAGCAACAGATGGAATTAGACAAAAGTGTGGCAAGGCCTTAAACCAGTTTGGTGTAGTGGTTAAGTGCGCGGACTCTAATCCGGGAGAACCGGGTTTGATTCCCCCACTCCTCCATTTTCACCTGGCTGGATGACCTTGGGCAAGCCATAGTTCTGATAAGAGCTGTCCTTGAAAAAGAGCAGTTTCTGTCAGAGCCCTCTCTGCCCCACCTACCTCACAGGGGGTATCTGTTGTGGGGAGGGAAAGGGAAAGGAGTTTGTCAGCCGCTCTGGGACACCTTTGGGTAGCGAAGGGCGGGGTATAAATCCAATCTCTTCTTCTTGATTAGTTCTTGTGGCCCTTTTTTACACGCCCAGGGAAAAGCTGATCGCCACTTTGCGGCCAGGAAGAAATTTTTCTCCAGGCCAGTTTGGCCGGGGGTCCTGGGGGGTTTTTTTTTTTTTTTGTCATCTTCTGGGCATGGAGCAGGGGTCAATGGGTGTGTGTGGCGGGGGGAGGTATTTGTCAATCTCCTGCATCGTGCAGGGGGTTGGACTAGAAGACCCTGGAGGACCCTTCCAACTCTACGATTTTAGGATGGCATTCACACACACACACACAGTTGTCTTATGCATTTGTCAGCATCAGTCCTAGCGGCTACTTATGTGGTCACCCTGACAACGGCAGAGAAAGGCAAGCGGCTAATTGAAGGAGAAGAGCCGGAAGCCTGCTGGCTCACAGAGATTCCCGGCTTATAAATTAACGGGACATTCGGGCAGGGACGCTGCCAAGAAGGCTGGCGATGTTGCTTGCTCTCATTAAGTGGAGTCCCCTGCGGCGGTGTCTCAGAAGACCTATTTGCAAACCATCTCCTGCTTCCACAGCCAATTAAAACCGGACTGGCTCTTGACCGTTCTAAGTAATCAAAGATGACTGGGGTAAGGAAGGATAAATGCTAATGCACGGCTCTCTCCCTCTTGGGAAGCGCTCCGGCCTTTTAAGTTTCCAGACAGCTTCAGAAGAAGAGGAGGAGAAGGAGGAGATTGGATTTACACCCCACCCTTCAATACTACCCAAAGGAGTATCAGAGCGGCTTACGGTCCCTCCCACTCCCAACAGGTGGGGCTCAGAGAGAGCGCTTTCGAGAACGGCTTGTGAGAGAACAGCCCTGAGAGAACTTGCGACTGACCCAAGGTCACACCGGCAGCTGCATGCGGAGGGAGTGGGGAATCGAACCCGGTTCTCCTAGATTGGAGTCCGCACTCTTAACCGCTACACCAAACTTAGTGGCATAGTTTGGCATGTATAAATCCACAAGGGTTAAGCTGACACTAAATATTATAAACATACAAAATTTATTCAGGTGTACACATTCAGACATTTTTTTTTTCAACATTCATACATAGATGGGTTAGTGCTGTGCAACTGAACCAAACGCGTTTCGGCCCCAAAGGGCCTTCCCTCAGTGGTCACGATCCAAAATACAAACTTGACATACATTCAAAAAAGGGTTTTTTGACATCAGATGTTGTACATATGCAATATAAGGCCAGATGTTGTATCCTTATATATTTATATGTATATTATTGTTGTATATGATAGGCCTCAGGTATAGCCAATTAAAGTTCACCAATACTTCTGGTAGCATAGAATTGCGTGAGTTGAATGTATGTCACTCCATCCTGTACAAATTCTGGTTTGGCATGTGCCAGATTTGAATTCACGACGCCAAACTGGCTCTACGGTTTCCATTTTGCAGATTCAGCAGAAGGAAGGTTCCCCCGTACACCACCTCGTAGCATGACACCAGGATTATCACTGAAGCTTTTGGGATGTCCTCTCACTTTGCCCGCGGAGGCCTCTTCATCCAGGAAGGCCAGACTCCCCCAAAGACCCCCCCAAACAGGGAGGGGGGTGGTCGGACTCCCAAATGGCTTCGTTAGGGAAGACCCAGCCTCCCTCCCCACACCAAACCTGACCAGCCCTTGAACACACACACACACACACGAGAATACGTTTTGATGCAGAGAAGGGGGAGGTTCCCACGTGCAGCCGACAGGGTGGAATTTTTTTTGAGCAGTACCGTATTCTATATTTTAGCCAATGGAGCATTTCTTACTTCGTTTCCTTCTCTCCCTTTCATAGTCCTCGTCTTCGTCCGAATCTGGATCTGGCCGTCTCGAGAATCCACTCGCCTCGTGCCGGTCTTTGCGCCTCCTTGCAGTTAAAACAGAAATGAAGAGGACAATCTTTCCGCATGAAGACAGTTCTGGCTGTGTTGGTCTGCAGCAATGCTCCCTCTAAGCTGTGGGGGTCTTATGGGCAAAAACGCCACTTTGTGAGCTACTGGCTTTAGAGTTGGGAGCGAGCGATTGGGCAGCTGCATAAAATTAGTTTGCTCTGACGCCACCCTTCCTGAGCTAAGACGAAAACGGGTGAGCCGGAAGCTAAGAAGCTGTGAGCTGGCTCACACTAACTCAACTTAGAGGGAACAATGGTCTGCAGTAGGATTGCTAGACTGGAGCCCAGTTACACCTTAGAGACCAACATACAACAAGTAACATGCACAGATGATTATAACATGTCATAAATAATTTTATATTTTTTGAAAAATATTTTTACAATAATTTGTACATATATAATAAATCATCTTAATCAAAAATATCAACAATCATCTCCAAGAATCTCAAAAGCTATTGTACAACCTTTAATAATAGTCCTCCTCTGTTAAATAAAGTTTCAAGAGGGAGGACTCCTTAAAGTCTCTTTATAACATGTTTATGATATGTTATAATCATCTGTGCACGGTACTTGTTGTATGTTGGTTTTCCTACTTACCGTGGGTCCTTGTTTGGTTTTGTGAACACCTTAGAGACCAGCAAGACTGCCAGGCTATGAGATTTCGCTAGTTAAAACTCCCTCTCTCACAGAAATAGTGAAAAGCCCAGTGGCACCCTTGAGACTAACAAACTTTATTGTACATGAGAACATAAGAGACGCCAATGTTGGATCGGGCCAAAGGCCCATGTGTCACACAGTGGCCAGAAATACCAGTGCCATCAGGAGGTCCAGCAGTGGGGCCAGGACATTAGAAGCCCTCCCACTGTTGACCCCCCCCCCAAGCACCAAGAAGACAGAGCATCACTTGCCCCAGAGCCCCTAGCTATACCTTGTGGCTAATAGCCACTGATGGACCTCTGCTCCATATGCTTATCTAATTCCCTTTTGAAGCTGTCCATGCTTGTAGCACCCACCACTTCCTGTGGCAGTGAATTCCATGTGTTAATCACTCTTTGGGTGAATAAGTACTTCCTTTTATCCGTTCTAACCCGACCGCTCAGCAATTTCATGGAGTGCCCACGGGTTCTTGTATTGTGAGAAAGGGAGAAAAGTACCTCTTTCTTTACCTGCTCTTTCCCATGCATAATCTTATAAACCTCGATCATGTCACCCCTCAGTCGTCTTTTCTCCAAGCTAAAGAGCCCTAAGCGCTTTAACCTTTCCTCATAGGGAAAGTGTTCCAACCCTTTTATCATTCGAGTTGCCCTTTTTCTGCACTTTTTCCAAAGCTATAATATCCTTTTTAAGGTGTGGTGCCCAGAACTGCACACAGTATTCCAAATGAGGTCTCATCATTGATTTAGATAGGGGCATTATGATATTGGCTGATCTGTTTTCAATTGTAGCATAAAGCTTCCGAGAAACACAGCTCTCTTCGTCATCTGACGTGACATAGTGCGACACAGAGTGCTGGACTGGATGGGCCATTGGCCTGATCCAACATTGGCTTCTCTTACGTGTTTATGTTCTTAAGTGATGCTCTGTGTTCTTGGTGCTTGGGGGGGGGGGCAACAGTGGGAGGGCTCCTAGTGCCCTGGCCCCACTGGTGGACCTCTTGACAGCACCTAGTATTTTTGGCCACTGTGTGACAGAGTGTTGGACTGGATGGGCCATTGGCCTGATCCTATTGGGTGTAGTAAATAAGAAGCTGGAGACCAACTGGTGATGAAGGTGCATAGAAAGTTTATATAGATATAATGGTGAATATATGCACAGAGATATACAGGCTATCATACAGCATACCGGGCCTTAGCTTGAGAGACTAAGTCCCCCCCTAGCTTATCAAGCTGATAGCTAATATACTAAACCCAGCCAATCACTAACAAGGTGAATTAATTACCTACTCTAACAATGCCTGATAGAGAACACCTGCTAGTATAACACCTGGTTGTAATCACTTAATCACTAGCATGACAGCTAGGACTGTCAAACAGATCAAACTGATCTAGTAACTGCTTGCTACCTCTATCACCTAGACATATATCTCAATAGATCCAACATTGGCTTCTCTTATGTGCTTCTGTTCTTGTGAAGTGGTTCAGAACACCTGAAAACTCATCCTGTGGTGAACATGTGAATAGCAGATAGAAAACATAATTAGGATTGACAAGATCAAAAGGTACTTATGCTGGCCCATTTGCACAATGAGTTCTTTAGCCCCCAACGTCTTCAGAGCAATCCAAACGGTTTAAGAGGAAGCCAAAGAGTTTTAACGCCTTTGGGCCCAAAATACTTACTTTTCTCTTTCTTCAATCTCTTTCTGCCTCTCCAGCTCTCGCTGTCTCTGCCGCTCCTCCCGCTGGCGTTTCACGACTTTCTCATAGTCATTGGGGAACATGGGATCGTACTCGTCCGCCAGAGGGATCAACACGTCCCCCGCAGAAAAGCCGCTGGGAACGGGGTCCTGGAATCGAAAAAGCGAGACATGTCAATTATTTTAAAAAAATATAACCGTCAGCAAAGCTGACGACCTTTGCTGTGCACTTCATCCTTCTTCCAAAGCACTTTGCAAAAAGTGCCTTTCAGAAATTCTACCAGAACAACTACTCCCGTGCCCTACAACATGGAGACTGTGGCTGCGCTGCTACTGGTATGCACAAAGGTGTGCCAGGATGCACATCCAAGGTGCACTGCACCGTGCACTCAACCTGAAGCGAGCAGCATTGCAATTGGGGATTGAGATTGGACCCCCTGCATGTCGACTCACTGGATCAGCTTCTGAATCATTTGCTCACTGTTTACAAACAGCACCTGAAACAGATCGCTGGGCATCAATTAGAGATGTAAAATTTCCGGAAATTTTGAAGCTTGGAAAAAAAAACCCGCTTTTTTCCGGAACAAAAGGAATTTTTCGGGGAAAAATGGGGGGGAAATGCTACATTAGAACTTCTTTTTTTCTTTTCCAGATTGAAAGTCATTCTGTTACTTCAGGAACATAAAATATGACTATGGACACTTTTACTTGGCATGACCTATCACAACTAGCATATTAAAAATTCTGACAATAGCACCTCCTAAAGGAAGAAATGCATCTTGTTCTTGCATTGGAGAGTTCAGTTGGTAACCTAGGACTTGCTTGTCCTCAGTGCATAGAAATTAGATCAATCTCATAGCATACATATTTTTTAGAAATAATTTGGAAAATATTTGAACACCTTGTCTTAAAATATTTATTCATAGTGTTAAAATAAAATGTTCTCTAATCATCATGTTGAAATAAAACGTTCCATAATCAATGTCTTTTCTTTTCTTTTTTCAATTTTTCCAATTTTTCGGGGGGGGGGAAACAAAAAAGGCTACAGGGGGAAAAAATGGGGGGAAACAGTTTTTTCCCGAATTTTTCCATTTTTTTTCTGGCCCTTCACATCTCTAGGCATCATACTGTTCCTATCTATACCCGGGCACTTTGTTGTGGTGCTATTATTCCCATCAGCCACATTAAACATGTCCTGGACAAACTGCAAACGCTTTAAGCTTTTAGTTTAGTTTATTTCTATTAGCTTTCAGATTACTTCTAAGGGCAGGGCCCTTCCATATGTGCCTCAAAGACATTAACAGGGGGCCTGATTCTGGATGGCTAGTCGGAAGCAGGGCTTTCCTGGCAGAGGGCCGATGCTACGGAATGCTCTCTTCCCAAGAGGTCTATCAAGTACCATTACGACATAGCTTGAGGCAGACTGCGAAGACCTCCTCTTTAGAAGAGGAAGAGAAGAAGAGATTGGATGTATACCCCGCCCTTCACTACCCGAAGGAGTCTCAGAGCGGCTTACAATCTCCTTTCCCTTCCCTGCCCCACTACAGACACCCTGTGAGGCGGGTGGGGCTGAGAGAGCTCTTTCGAGGACTCCTCTTGAGAGAACAGCTCTGAGAGAACTGTGGCTTGCCCAAGGTCACTCAGCAGCTGCATGTGGGGACTCAAACTCGGTTCTCCCAGATTAGAGTCCGCACTTCTAACGACTACGCCAAACTGGCTTTAATATCTGGGATTTTTCTGTGTGATGTTTGTATGTGACCAAACATAGTGCCGGTGGGAAGGAGATGAAGCTATTAATTGCGTGTTCCTCTGGTGGGTCTCGGAGGAGCACCTGGACAGCCCCTGCGTGGGAAACAGGATGCCAAACTAAATGGACCTTTGCTCTAATCTAACAGGGCTGCTCTCACGTTCATGTCTTGGTCGTTATTTTCTCCTGGAGAGGATCGCAGGAGAAAAGCCGTCTGGGCCTTTCCCCGTGACCTGTACTAGCTGCTTTCTGTTTAGGGCTCCTCTGCTCTGCTCTTCTTCACAGACCCACTCTCACCTTCAGGCCGGCTGCCACGTGCGGTGGGGTGTCCACCACCTGTCGCTCGTCAGAGGCGCTGCCTCGTTTCAGGTCGATCACCGGTGCGAGGACCGTGCTCTGCTTCGTCCTCTGACTCTAAAAGTAATAAAACATTAAAAAGTTAGAAGCGGACGCTGACCCCCAATCTCTGATGACGCCGTGTCGGAAAAGCCTCAAGATGCTTTTGGCACATGCACAAAATAAGTGACAGCAAAGAAAGGGGTCATGCCGGTCATCCAGGGAGATCAGTTCTGGAGTGAATGGTACAGCATAGCCAGTGATTCGTTCTATTTGTTGTCAGATATCTTGCCAGAAGACAGAAATAACACTGTACTAAGTAGAATAGCCTTACTTAACTTAACATAATACAATTAACTATATAACTGTACTAAACCTTAATACTTCTATCTTGTAGGAAATAAGGGCTAGTCCCTATATTAAAGGTAGCAACTCTAGAGGAGTATCTTAAAAACCAAGAAAATACACATATTAAGAAAACTTATATACAACAACAGGTAGTATACCTTCACCTTAATCCTTATTGTGGGTTTGACAACTGTGTTAAATGCTTATTGTGGATTTGTCAGCTGTGTTAAGTGCCATGCTCAATTCTGCTTGAAATGTATTGTTATGTATTGTTATGGATTTTATCTTACAGTTAAGCTGCTTATGAGGAAGTCACTAGACGAAACCAAGTGTAAGCCGGCTGCTTCAGTGTGTGCACTTGCAATTGTTACTAATCAAATTACTTTTCCTTCTATTAATGTTACTGTTACTCTTAAGCAACTTACTACTTGTGCAACGAAAAAAGTGGTGTATTTGATCCAATGTGGTTGTTCTATTCCTAAATTGTATGTGGGTATGTCCACAAGAGCCGTTAGGACACGTATCATTGAGCATAAATCTCGCATTAGACAGAAAAATTTGGACTCCCCATTAGTCCCCCATTTTGTCGAACAGGGACACAGCTGTAATGATCTTAAATTTCTAGTGCTTGAAACCTTCAACACCTATAAATACAGTAAGGTGGATGTTATAAAAGCCTTAGAAAGACGTGAGGCTTTCTGGATACATAAACTACAAACACAATATCCTAAGGGATTAAACCTAGCTATAGACTATACATGTTTTTTATAAATGATATCTCTGTTATACATCATTTAAGATACATATGATATACATGAAATAGTAAAACATACAGACTTTAAGCCCATATTGCTGGGCTCTTTAATAGGAACTTGCAGGTGGTGTCACTTAGGATATATATGGTAAACATGTAACAGTTGAACAGAGAGACCTTTGGCTAAGAAGCTTAGTCTATCAAGGACAGGTCCTATAGGAGATATGGTCCAAGGTGGGTACTAAGTAGAATAGCCTTACTTAACTTAACATCATACAATTAACTATATAACTGTACTAAACCTTAATACTTCTATCTTGTAGGAAATAAGGGCTAGTCCCTATATTAAAGGTAGCAACTCTAGAGGAGTATCTTAAAAACCAAGAAAATACACATATTAAGAAAACTTATATACAACAACAGGTAGTATACCTTCACCTTAATCCTTATTGTGGGTTTGACAACTGTGTTAAATGCTTATTGTGGATTTGTCAACTGTGTTAAGTGCCATGCTCAATTCTGCTTGAAATGTATTGTTATGTATTGTTATGGATTTTATCTTACAGTTAAGCTGCTTATGAGGAAGTCACTAGACGAAACCAAGTGTAAGCCGGCTGCTTCGTCAAGCTCCAGTAGCTTTCAGCTCATTAAGCCTTCTACTTTTTTGACTGCCAACAGTAACTGTTTAGGAATTCCACTGTTATTTTGGGGCTGTTGGCAGCCACTGACATTCTATTGTATTCTTATTGTTGTAAATATTTGGGGAAATTTTGTATACTTTATAGTAACTATCTAGTATAAAGCAATTGTATCTAGCATACTACTCATGGTTTAGAGTGTATTATTGGTTCTATATTGGCCCCAGTTTTGTCTTGTTTCCCTAGTTCTATTTGTTGTCAGATATCTTGCCAGGAGACAGAAATAACACTGCATTCCCACCAACAATGGGCAAAGGAGCCCAATTCTCCACATTGCTTCCAGCAAGTAGGTGAGTGAGCCGAGGTTATCTTAGCCAGGCTTTCAGGCGTTAGGTACCATCTAGTCATAATCTTGTATTCCTGGATGAATGGCATGAAACAAACGTACCCAAATTAAGACAAGAGCTAATGACGAGCCTCCTAGTAGCTGTGAAAACTTCAATAGCTTCTGTCTGACGAACTGTGCCTTGCACACGAAAGCTCATGCCATGAATAAAACTTTGTTGGTCTTAAAGGTGCCGCTGGACTCTTGGTTCTGTTGTCTCAGACCAACATGGCTGCCCACCTTGACCTATGGGTCACTTCAGTCATCCAGTGATGCATGAGCACGTGCAAAGATGCACTCCAGAAGTACACAAGACACGACAGATGCTAATTGGTTGCCCCCCCAGCATCTCTCCTCTGCTTTAATCAAGCTGATTACACCTCTAATTAATCAAGCACTGCACCTCTGCGTCCTTTAGAAACATCCTTTATAACACACACACACACACCGCCTCCTGACCAAGGCTCCCTCTAAGCTGTTGAGCCTTGTGAGCAAAAATTCTACTTTGTAAGAAGAAGAAGAGATTTGGATTTATGCCCCGCCCTTCACTACCCGAAGGAGTCTCAGAGCGACTTACAAACACCTTTCCCTTCCCCTCCCCACCACAGACACCCTGGGAGGTAAGGTGGGGCTGAGAGAGCTCTGACAGAAACTGCTCTTTTTCAAGGACAGCTTTTATCAGAACTACGGCTTGCCCAAGGTCATCCAGCCAGGTGCAAGTGGAGGAGTGGGGGAATCAAACCCGGTTCTCCCAGATTATAGTCCGTGCACTTAACCACTACACCAAACTGGCTCTCAGTTTGCAAGCTGCTGGCATTAAAGTTGTGAACGAGCCATTTGGCTGCTGCGTAAATCAGTTTGCTCTGGAGCCATCCTTCCTGAGATAAGGCAAAAACCTGTGAGCTGGAGGCTAAAAAACCGCGAGCTGCCTCACACCAACTCAGCTTAGAGGGAACACTGCTCCTGACTAAGACAGGAGTCTTCAACCTTTTCCAGACTGAGGGCGTATTTGGAATTCTGACACGGCGTGGTGGGTGGAGTCACAAAATGGCTGCCGCAAAAGAGCCGCCACAGAAGGTGGAGCTATCCATAAAATGGCTGCCACCAGTTACCTTCAGTCACTCAGTGAATATCCTTGTGGCCAGGGGAGCAGCGGCTGCCAAAGCAAGCTTTTTAAGATCGTGCACAGCCCATCGAATCTCCAATGTCCAATCAGAGACCTTGCTGGGCAAAAGCTCCGCCTGGTCCCACCCGCTTTCTGAAAACACTTGGCGGGCACCAGGAAATCTGTTAGCGGGCACCCTGGCCAATGTTCCCTCTAAGCTGTGGAGTCTTGTGAGCGAAAATTCTACTTTGTGAGCCTGGCGTTAAAGTTGTGAGCGAGCACTTTGGCTACAGCATAAATTAGTTTGCTCTGGACTGGAGCCATCCTTCCCGAGCTAAGACAAAAATATGTGAGTCGGAGGCTAAAAAAACTGTGAGCTAGCTCACGCGAGCTCAGCTTAGAGAGAACACTGAGTGGCACCATGCTGGGGACCGACCCCTGGACTAGGATGAAAGGACTCGTGGTTTCTGCTCTCCTGCGACGGACAAGGGGAGCGTTGACTCTTGAAAGCTTAGAAGAAGAAGAGATTGGATTTATACTCAACGGTGTCTCAGAGCGGCTGACAAACTCCTTTTCCCTTCCCCTCCCCACAACAGACATCCTGTGAGGAAGGTGGGGCTGAGAGAGCTCTGAGAGAAATGGCTCCTGAGAGAACAGCTCTGGGAGAACTTGTGACTAACCCAAGGCCACACCAGCAGCTGCATGTGGAGAAGTAGGGAATCAAACCCGGTTCTCCCAGATTAGATTCTGTGGTCCTAATCACTACACCAAACCAGCTCCTAACGACTACACCAGGGATGTCAAACTCAGGGGAACATGTCGCTGTAAAAGATCTCTGAAAGTGTCTAACTCAGAGATGTCAAACTCATTTGTTATGAGGGCCGGATCTGACATAAATGTCACTTTGGCGGGCAGGTCCATGTGTGCCAGGTACAAAAGACAGAAAAAAGGATGGCAGCTGGTCTCCGAGTTGGTGTAGCCTCACTGCAAGGCCCCATGGGCTGGGAGGGGGGTGCAAAGGAAAACTCCCCTAGGCAGACTGGAGAGGCAGCAGTGTTGCACTGGGCAAATGTTCCCACAATGCTTGACTGCTGCAGGCAAGGCTGTTCTGCCTTGCTGAAGCCACAACAGAGTGGCTCCACCTACTCTCCCCCCCAGCACTCCCAGAACTCGTGGGCACTCCATGGAATTGCTGAGCAGTCGGGTTAGAACAGATAAAAGAAAGCCCTTCTTCACCCAAAGAGTGATAAACACGGAG